GGCCCATTACCTTGGCTTGGCCACGAAAGTAAAGCTCGAGTCGAACGATATTACAATATCAACAGGCTGAACCCAACAACAACAACAACAATAACAACAACAACAACAACAACAATAACAACAACAACAGCAACAGCAACAGCAACAGCAACAGCAACAGCAACAGCAACAGCAACAGCAACAGCAACAACAGCAACAACAGCAACAACAGCAACAAGCAACAACAACAACAACAACGACAACAACAACAACGACAACCACAACCACAACCACCACCACCACCACCACCACCACAACCACAACCACAACCACAACCACAACCACAACCACAACGACGATGACGACAACAACAACAACAACCACAACCACAACCGCAACCACCACCACCACCACCACCACAACCACAACCACAACCACAACCACAACCACATCCACGACGATGACGACAGCGACAACAACAACAAAAAAAACACACAATCACAATCACAATGACAATCACAAGCACAACAACAACAGCGACAACAAAGGCAAACACGACCTGGCAGTAGGCAGCCTTTTTCAAGTAAAGATGCACACATTTATTAGAAGAAACATAGCGCCAACACCCCACCAACACCACCCCCGCCGCGGACAGCGACAGCGACAGCGACAGCGACAACCAGAACCACAATCAAAAAAACAAATACTGCTGCTGCTGCTGCTGCTGCTACGACGCACTGCTACTACTCCCCCTGCTGCTGCTTCTACTGCTACTACCACCACCACGACTACTACTGCTACTGCTTCTGCTTCTGCTACAGCTATTACTGCTACTACTGCTACTACTACTACTACTACTCCTCCTCCTCCTCCTCCTGCTGCCTGCTGCTACGTACTACTACAACTCCTCCTGCTGCTGCTGCTGCTGCTACTACTACTACTACTACTACTACTGCTACCACCTCTTACTCTTGCTCGTATTCCTACTCGTAGCCTTGCTTGTTTCACCTGTTTTTGCTGCTAGTGTTGTGACTGAATGCTGCGCGAGCGGGGGGCTCCTCGTTATTTGCGCCCGTTATCACGTGTCACACGAGGCTCCTGTAAAAGACAAGAGCAAGTAAAGCGACTTTGGTGCTCACCAACGACAACCGTAACAGCTGCAGCCACAGCGAAGGCAACAGTGACAGCAGTACGACGACGACAAGAACAACAATCACCACTGACTACAACAGCAGCAAAGACAAGAGCAAAAGCAACACAACCAAAACGAAAAGGAGAACGACAAGCAGAACAACCGCAGTAACTCAGCATGGACACTAGCAAGGATTGAACAAACATCGGGGCAATGGTGATGGTGAAGGAAACAACGGAAAGGAGCACTGCGATGCGAAGGTGGTCAGGACCCGTAAAACCCTCTCAAACAACCACCGGTGACCGGAACCATAGGCATGCATATGGGTGTACAATCATGCCAGGAAGAAATTATGCCGTAATGGCCGAATCGCAGGCTAATTAGGATCGTCGCCATTTCTCGGCTCTGCACGGATGAAGCCCCTTCCTGTAACATGCATCCTGAAAGAGTCCAAGGATCTAGTCTCTCCCGCACCACGTTGCCGATGTCCTTTCGCGGCTGCAACCAGCTGGGTCGCCATGCCTCAGCTGAGCCAGGCCGCGCCGGTTGCTTCGCGCATCTTCGTGCATCAGGGCACGAAGGGCCAGCACGCTGACACATAGGTGACGGTGCCTTCCCAGCCTCGGGCATCAGTCACCAACAGTCTCAGGCTGAGCTAGGCCAGGGATAATTGGATACAAAAGCCTACCATTTACCAATCAGTGCTCGGAAGCCAAGAAGCAGGCAGAGCCATTGTTCTTCTGCACGATCTTGGACATCTTATATTACAAACTGTTGGCACTGACCATACGGTGACTATCTGCAATGAGGACCTGATTTCCTGCTCCGTTGATGCCGTCTCCTGGACAACTTGTACTTGTTGCCGAAAGGCTAGTAACTTGATCTGGCCAGACTAACTTAGCGCTCACATCTAAGACTAAGGATTACGCGCACAAAGCTTACAGACTCAGCCCTGTCCAGGGGTTTCAAGGTTGGCACGTCGGGCACTAGAGTATACATGCAACAATCAAGCCTTAAAATATTTCATAAGAGAAGGGCAGACGGACTGGGGTCTTCTGTAGAGAGCCGATGAACTTTCGCAAGCTTCTCAGGTGTTTCCTGTGCATGCTGATCTTCGGCGAAGCTCATTTTTCAGTAAATTGCAAAACGATATATAGAAAAGAAGAACAAATCGAAAGGGGTGCGCGCCCACAGCCGATTTAAGGCCCTTGCTCTTTCCTTGAGCCGATGGTTATCCCTTTTCGGCAGAGGGGACGCTGCGAGAAGCCTGTTTCTTGATGTATCCTCAAAGTTCCCCTATAGCTGTAAGCCAGCTAGCATCCATGGGAACGTGCTTGACCCAGCATTCCTCCCAGATCCTAGGCTTACGCCTCCGGCCATTCAACAAACATGCAACCACAGCGTCCTCCTCCCCAGCGGGGAGCAACGGGCATCACGCAATGTTTGGCGGCTTCTCAGAAGGCCTAGCCAAAAAACGCGTGCAATAATCTAACACAGGCGGCCTGAACGGCCCACAGTAGTGCTACTCTTCCTTGGGAAGGTAACCCAGCTTTGGCGGACCCACACGGCTGCAAACATTCTGCGCAAATTTTGCGTCGCCTCTAGGCGATCCAACACGCCCCACCTTGCCCCAAGCTCTCTCACGGACTCGACAAACCGACAGCAATGCAAGTTGCATCGTTTAACGACCTAGTCCACCGTGCCAACCATCCTGCTAGATGATGCACCTGAGCAAGCAGTCTCACTCCGCTTCGATACTCCCAGAACATGGGCAAGGAGAATGATCTCTGCTGTCCAATGATGCTAAAGCTGCCGAGCAACTTCTGGAGCATCTTTAAGAGAGCTGCCTTGATCTCTGGGTTGCACTTCTCCACATCACACAATAGCTTCACCTGCCTGTTCCTGAGTAAGCTTGCGCACCCGCGGTGATGCAAAGAAAGACAAACGCATCAATCGGAATCGACACTCAAGCAGCTAGTTAAGGCTGCATCTTCTCCGCTGTCTGCTTCGGGGTCAACTGGTTCCTGCAGCTCTTCCGCAGCAAGTCTTGAACCTGAGTTGGCACTTGCCGCCGCTTCCTCCATTCCATCGATGCAGATCCACTGCTCCTATGCTGGTTGTTCCCCCTTGAGTACTCGTCCTTCTCTCTCCGTTACTCGGTCATGCAATGTCATGCATACATGGATAACGCAAGTGGTGATAGCACTGTACGAAAGACGCTATAACCAGGATCATGAAATCCTTGTGGTATAAACATGAAGCAACAACGCTGAACAGGATGCTGGCAATGATGATAGTCGTGGAATGCACGTCTCCCAGTCCACCACCCGTTGTTGGGCATTCCAGCTAGGCCTGACCATCCTTGATTGTTCCCTGGCCTCATAGAAGAAGAAAGGGGAATCCATGGTGAACTCAAAATCAACACAGCTAAATTCAACAATCCGTAAACATGAATTACATCCATGCCTTAAATAAATACAGCTCCACTCTCGGCGAGAGCTCTTTCACACGGATGCACCGATGCACGGAAGGAGGTCCCTTCTCCACATCAGAGGCTGTCTGAACATGGCCTGTGCTGTCTTCCAAACTTCGAAGCCGGCCGACCATCTTCATGCGCTCACCAGCCATGTGCGAAGATGAATATTCAATGACCACCGCCTGGGCGAGTCTGGAGCAAAGACACTGACGAAAGCACCGTTAAACGTCTACCTCTACTGACAAACATGGCCACCGGTGACGCCTCGAAGATTCGAGCTGCAAGTTCCGTAACTGAGTAGAGTGATAGCTGATAGATTTCTTCCTCAACCGAGAAACGAAATAGGGATGTGGACGAAGAATGTCCAGCACCAGTCGCAGCTGTCTCATTCCACTCTCCTTAACCGTCAAAAGTTGCAGCTTCTACATGACCCCCTGGCTGAGGGCAGCGAGTCGAGGTCAAGCCTTCCCGACTTCTGCGAAGCATGTTTTCGGCAAGGCATTGCAAGGAACAGGCCTTTAGTAGCCGCAAGAAAACACACCTACTACCACGGGCACCAGTCTTCACTATCGTAGGGGCGGGCAGCGCGGGCCCGGGACCTCTCCGCAAGCTCGCACGGTTTGGCACATGCCCCCACCCCAAACCGTGTGATGAGCATCATCTCCCTGGCCTTGAGCGCCACCGCCTCCCACAGACCCTCCCGGACCCCTCAGCCGAGCGTGACGCGCACGCGGGGTGCCCAGTTCCACGCCCCAAGGCTCGAAAAACCCACAAACCTTGGCAATTACAGCGTTTAGAAGGCGCAAATGACCGAGATAGCCGATAGCCCGGTCGTCCAAGCGCACCGCTGTCCACCGCTATTGCAAAAGCTAGGCTTGCAAGCTAACTCCGCCTCAGGCGGAGGCAACGGAGGGCAATCGCCCGCAGACCGGGCGCTGGCCGATTTTTCAAGCAGGAAGAAAGCCCGTGAGCCGCCGAAATGGGAGACGAAAGCAAGCAAAACAAAACTGCTGCACAACCGAGCCGAGCGGCTTGCAGCAGGCTGGAACTGTTCTCGAAGGAGATGGGCTGCCTTAAGCTTACAACAAGAGCAGAGATAGGGACTTTTAGTATCATTGGGTAGGAAGCCCCAGCATCTCCTTACAGGAATCATTTCGTCTCAAGCCGAAAAGCTTGATCAGCTCCTCCAGCTCGACCAGCTTCTCCCGCATGGTCTTTATCTGTGCCTTCTCGCACCCCCATCCGACAAGGATCACCCTTCCTCACCTTTGCAAGTCGAGCCTGTGCGCGGCCCAGCGTGCTCTGAGAGCGCAGACCCTCTGGAAAGTTCTCCTGTGCGGGGCGGTGTGGAGCAGAAGTGCTGCGGCTGCGCGCTTGCGTGCGCGCCTGTATCAGCTTCGTAAAGGCTGCATCCAACTCAGCCCAGGTATCGTTGCCTTGTTTTCAGGAGCTGCCTCTTTGCTTGCTCGACACAAGTAGAGGGTACCTGTAGAATCCTGCAGAAACTAGTGGGGTTCTGTCGTCCTGACACGCAGCTTGAAAAAGCCAGAGCCTTCAGCAATGCTTCGTCGATCTTTTCGCCGAGGGGCTCTTGACACACTCGCGCGCTTGCTCCAGCAGAGTCATTTCCCGCAAAGCGGCGCGAGCAGATTCCAAGAGCTTCGGATCCAAACCTCAGGAGACCAGCACGAAATGCGGTCGAGACCGGGGCTTGGCCCTCCCATACCTCTTGTGGCATCCGGGACACTGTCTACGTGCGCGGAAGAGCCTGCTTTGGAAATTGCCGTCTGCAGCGCATGGCCATCCGAGAGGACCATGGCACTTCGGATCTCCTTTTCGAGCAGCGCCTTCTTGTACCTGATTTACAGCAGAAACAACGAAACAACCTGAGACTCCACTTTACTATCTAATAGGATGAGTGCGCAACGTAAACAAAAGTCAGGCTGGCCAGCTAGCCGAGGAACAACCGCGTGGCCTCTTTCACGTCGCCTGACATCCTTGCAGATTTTCGCTTGAGCGACGGGATACAATAACGACTTGTGCGGCAAAGCTGTCCTCAGCTTTCCGGCATCTTGAATCTTCTTAGGCAGCTCCTGCAAGACCTTCATGTTGGAGCTGGCGTGCTGTCATCTCTGACTTGCAATCAGCTCTTTTGATGGCGTGCCGACACCTAGTTTGGTCAATAGGCTGCAGGGTCGAGGCCCGGACCTGTGTTGCACGCTTGGCCGCAGTCGCCTTGATCTCATCCAGCCTCAGCCCGAGGGATTGGAGGGGGGGGGGGGGGGCNNGGGGGGGGGGGGGGGGGGCCACGGAGTGAGGGACGAAGAAACATGGAGAGTGAACGCGCAAAACCAAATCGACCGAGAGGTAGTGAAACAGTGACAGCTCCAACACAGCACGAATCATGTCGCATGTTTTTTGTGCCTGATGACCCGATGACCCATTCAAGCCAGCTAAGTGCAACCGAACTGGTTTCGTGAACCTTCTTCAGGCACGAAGCTGCACCTCCTGTCAATCCTCGCCAAGTTGATCTGTCTTAGATCTTAGGACACCAGACTAATCTACACCTATGTTCCGTACTAACACTTGTTCGGAAAGCCGTACAAAAAGTGACCACCTTTGCCAACAGAAGCGTGACAACAATAAGAATTGCAGCGATTTGAACCGCAATCAAAGCGCACATCAGAAAATCAATGACAAAAGGACAACCTCGAGAACGGCACCAGGCTACAAGTAGAGACAAGGCAGGCCATGAGCAAGCCCAACATACTGGTGCTTTCTGCTCAAGAGCTCTTGATGCTGTCATCACTGCCGCCATCACAGCCATCATCATAAAGAACCATATTTTCAACATCAACGGCATCATGAGCCATCGTCATCGTGACGAAAACGAGGGAGATAAGCTTGTCAGTGGTGCGAGAAGCGTAATCACGATTCAAGTCTTGCCATAAGCATAAGAAGACAAGCCCCTCTGGTTCCCAAGAGCCAGTAGTGCGCTGTGTAATAACAGTGCCCTCTGCTTCCCCTTTACGATTCATACACACATCACCGTGCCTACGGCACGATACTTGCATGAGCGCCCATGCGCGTTGCCTACTGACGCGGCTTGCTGTTCTGAATCCTGCGTCGGTTGTTTAGAGTTTCCAGCTTGCTGTGCTGAGTCTTACAGCTGCCACCCCGCCCTTGGATGCATATTGCTACTTTGTAGCAAGTACTGTAACTGGTATCCCTGTGTTGCCACGAAGAACTTTTCTCGAGCGCGCTAACATGTGAAGGTAGCACTGCATAGTGCACTAATGCAGCACTCCAGCCGCAGGAAGATGATGGAGGTAAAAGTAGCAGAGAGGTGTCGTTTCCTTTCTCTCCATGCTGTCGTGGCACGAAGTGGAACTGCTATCGCCGCGAAGTCAAGACCACTGATTATCCCACCCGCCCCTGACCGAGTCGTACCGGAGCACACTCTGGACAACGTGAGGATGCAACTCCCAGGGCTGCCCTCCACTCTCCCGTGAAAACACGCAAGTCTTATGGCATATCGTGACATACTTAGGAAGGGTCTGGTAGGACTAGGCCTAGGCAGAAACCGCGCCCAAACGTGACTGAGGGATCCGGCCGGCTCTGCCCTGTAAACGAGATCTTCCCTGCGGAGACCTTGGCCCTTGTTTAATTTCAGCCCAGGTCTTGAAGCTTCCTTTGCCGAGGGCCCTGCACCTTGGCTTTCTGCTTGCTGTCGAATAATCTTTCCAGAGCCTGCATTTAAATTTGTGTCTAGCAGCCTAGCATGACAGCCAAATCTCTAATCATGTCTGAAAGCTTCAGTCAAAGCCTTTGGCAAAACCTACAAGTATCTTCTTTTTCACTTAAAACTCTGCACGTGCACAGGGCTCGGGCCTCCATCCGGACCTCCGCCAGCAGTTTTTCTATGGATCGGCGCCGGCCGGTTTTCGCATCCTCTCTTCGGCCCCCGCGGCATCACTCGAGGCTCAGCATTCTTCACACGTTTAAAGCCCTTGGATCTCCTGCTTTGTGCTTTGGATCGCAGACTCCAGCTTCGAGACGTCGTCCTCCCTGCAAGGACACGTAGGATCTGCGAACGGCATGGTTCCCTGTGCACAAACAGCTGGTCTCTGCTTCTGTGGTGTCTGTGGGTAGCCCACAAAAATGCAGAGAACCACGGCTGCCACAAGCCAAGGCCGGTAAATACGTCCATCAGCAAATGCGGCGATCCGTCAAGAACTTGGGCCCACGGTTCATGGCTTATCAGTCCTGCTGGCAACTGTCAGTTGCGCGATCTGGGAGAGCATGTCCTGAAATTTGAGAAGCCGAAGGCTCAGATGTACATCATGAAAGCAATCGGGAAGGCAGGCAGTTAGAGCCAAATTCTGCCAAACCGGCAGCCAAGAGTCTCTGGCGCTGACTGCCGTCTCCAAAGACCGAGAAACAGTCTCCGTGCTGATACCAGATCGCTGGGCGACGACAAGCGCTTCCCTTAGAAAGTGTAAGAATCTGCTTCTGTCTTGTCCATGTGAAATCGCAAGACAACTGGGGCGATTCACACAGCTGCAGTCCAAGTGTGGTGCTAAAGATGACAGCAAGGTGCTGGAGGCACTCCTTGGCACCGTTTGTGCGTGCAGCCAGGACCGCCCAGCGTCCCAGGTTGCGGGAGCGGATCGGCCCATAGGCAGCTTCCACTCTCCTGAGCCCCAACACGACATTCACGTGCCTGCAAGCTTGATCCCAGGCGAGGCTTGGCTGCTTGAGACAAAAACCAGCAGACGAGTCCCGAACAAATGCTAAAGCTACTACAATAAGCTGGAGCTGCAGGAGCCAAATTCCCGAATCAGAACATAAGTCTTGAGACAAACACTCTTACAAAAACTTTCGAACACAGTACAGTACCCGTCGTACTTTGCCACCGGGGTGTCTGAAGCATTTCACAGCGAGCTGGATCCAGAACAGCCTCCTCCGACTTCCACAGCGCTTCCCTGAAAGCAGGTCCAGTTCCCTTAGACGCAAACGTCCACAAGTCGATAAGTGACAACCTCTGTCGATTGCATCTACACTCAAGTACCAGTGCAAACCGGGAAACGACGTCGAGTGCGGATTGCAAAGCCGCAGTCGCACTGCTGAGCTTGTCCATGCGCTGCCTGACGAATATCTGGTCACTCGTGATAGCGGGGACTTTCTCACAGCACAAGGCTGCCAAGCCAAGCCACACAAGCTCTGCGCCCTCTGGGTGGTCTGCGAGCTGGGCTCTTTCTGCCCAAGGCCGCAGTGTCTTCAGTTGTTCCAGATCTTGCGAGTCAACCACCTCATGATCCATGCAGGATGTTACGGTAGGGTTCCCAAGACCCCTAGAAAGGGAATTCCAGAACCCCTGGCTGCGAGGTCTTTATGTGGGCATGCACTTTCGGGCCCCTACCACAAGCTACACGGCCCCGCAAAGTTTGATGAAGCAAAGCCGCCTCCTGCAATCTGTCAATCATCCTCGGTCACACAAGGTTGCATGTTCGAAATTCTCGCAGGGAGCCCTGAACTGCGACAGATGCAACACTTTGAAGATCTGCACGAGCGATGCCAAGGCACCCGGTCTGCCAATGGCTGAGCAACTTTCGAGTCAGCGAAGCAAGCTTCTTGGCTCTTGTCAACTGCGCACCCTTTAACCTGACCGGCATCAATGCGACACTCCCCACCACCCCCAGAACGCCTTTGCCTCTGCACGTACGTTGTAGAGTCTGAAAACAACATCGGTGATTGCGTGGTTTCTCCACCTCACATTTTCTTGCATTTACTTCTCAGAAACTTGCGACATGTGAAAGACACCATAGTTCCCACGAACATTTGGGTATCTCCATGTTGCGAGTCTACCATGTGTTCTCTTTTTCGGGTGAATCTATGGTTAGCCATTTTCCACCTCACTCTTGCAGGTTTCTGCATGTGATAGCCTCCAGCGTCCAGTGTCTAGAGCAATGGCAGTGGCTAGGTTTAGGCTGCGCTCTTCAATGGTGACAGTAGCAGTGCTGCGTTGATGCAGGCACCTGTCCGTGGCCGTTTCGCCGGCTTCCACAGCTGCATCCAGGGCCGGCCATCCTCTCGTCAATAACACGGATCAGGACAGCCAGTCACCCGATGTCACACCGCAGTGGTGGGCTTCTGATGAAGCCGGATCGAAGCATTTCCGCCAGGCGGCTGCGCTCGTCGTAGGCTGCTAGGCGCAGCGCGCTTTGAATGCGCCGGGTGGCGAAGCCCTCGAAGTTTCAGGCTTCACGGACTTGAAGCCTTCGGCAGCCACAACCAACTTCCGGAAATATGAGAGTGACTGTGCAAAAACCGCACTTGTTTCTGCCCCTTGCCTCAGCCTGCATCTGTAAAGCCTGTGAGCACTCTGTGTCGCAGGCCTCTGCCAGCGGCAAGAGCCTAGTCGAGCCCTTTGGGCAGAGAAGCCGTCGATCAGGCACTGAATGGCACTGAAATCCTAGACTGCACTCGGTAGGGAGCAGATATTGCCCACACTCAGAGTCAAAGCAAATCAATTTCTGGGGACTGTCCTCGGCTCAATTCCAGGGTGAGGTCATTTACACGTGCCTGTAAATGTGACAGCTCTTCTTCTCCTTTGCGGTACCTTTCTTGCGCCTCAACGAGTTCAGTGCGGAGCCGAGCGTTTTCCTGCACCACGTTCGGGCCGTCTGCACTTGCTTCAATTTCTTCCATCAGGCGAACCCTGTCGTTTGCAAGCTTGGAAACTTGTCGGCAGATTGGCCACAGAAGCGGGAACCGCTCTTGCATGGCAAGGAGCTGACTGGTGGGCTCCGAGAGGCCTCTCAGGCCACTGTTCCCTGGAGTCCCACTGAAATCGTCGAGCGCGCCGAGCAATGCATACTGCAGGCTGTCTGCCAGGCTCCTCTCATCCGGAAACTCTGGACACGTCAAGCCTTGAAAATGGCTTCTCACAAGCTGTGCCGGAGCATCGCAAGTAGAGATGTGGTCGAGGGTCACACACGGACGTCCAGAGATCTCTGACAAGAGCTGAAGACAGGATGCCAGCGCCTCGGAAAGTCGAGCCTGGGCCTGCGCGGCCTGGGCCTGGCAGGCGGCCTCGGCCGCCCCATCCATTTGGCCGCTTTCCGGTGAGCCGGCTCCCGCCAACCCGGGCTCCGCTTCAGACTCGGCGACTTTCTCTACAGAGCGCTTTTCCAGCAAACCTCCCAGCTGAAGGTCTTGGAAACGCTGCTGACCATAACTTGCAGCCTGCAGTTCTTTTTCCTGCCGCCGTTCTTGCTCCGTCTGCTTTTGTAGCGCCATCTTCGCTCGCAACGCGGGATTATGGTACTTGAACTGCAACCGCAGCTTTGGATACTCGGGTTTCGCCAGAAGGTGAATCACTGCCTGAGCAAACATCATCTCAGGCGCATGGGTCTCCAAGTTCTGGTTTGCAGGAAGAAGACCCAACCACGTGTCCCACTCGTGTGGTGGTTGCAGAAGGTTCTTGCTAATCACTGCCAAGGGTAGAATCATGTGCCACAAAAGTGCTGCACCCTCGGGCAGTCTGCGCCGCACATGCAGCTTTAGGTTGAGCTGCAGGGGGCAATCCATGAGATCAATGCCAGTCGCTTTGACTAGCGTGGCACACTCAAAGAGTGCACACCCCTCGGATGTAGCCAACTCACTGAACAGCTCATCTACTGGCGCCAACTCGGGAAAGTGCTTTGCATCAGCAATGGAGACATTGAGAAAAGTCGCCTCGTCCAGCTCCATGGACCCTGAGAATCTGCGTCTAAAATGACTTTTTGTGTAGGTGGATGACAACACGTGCTTGGACAGGGACGTCTTGCTGCTCCCTATGAACCCTCAGCTGTTGAAAGAAGGATCCCTGGCGGCTGCGGCTGGCACAATCAGCGAAACACAGCAGTCCCGCATCCCGACGTGGCACATGAAGGAATGACGTGCGCAGCCTCTTCTGAACCACCTGGAGCTGTTCTTTCGCGGCGCTCAGTCCCTCAACATCGTCTGCGATGTCGGAAGCTACCTTGGTCCATGAGAAAAAGGCAAGGCCTCCCCGAATGGAATTCGATGAACTTGCCAAGCATCCAAGTCATTGATCAGTCGGCTTCGTTCTGCGAAGTTCGCCTCACATTACTGAGACTGCACGCATCTCACAACTTCCACAGATACTCAAATAGTTCCATCCCAGCGGCAGTCTGGCGTGCAGCCTCAAGATACCGAGAAGCTTGCTGCTGCCGAAGCGCTTGGGTTCCTTCCAGCCTAGGAAGCAGGAGAGGACTGGGCAAAGGCAAAGGCTTAGCGCAAAGGTCGCGAGGTTTTCTGCTCACGCTGCCGGCAGAAGTGGCTTCAAGGAGGCTGTCGCATTGGTGGACTTCCGAAGTGGCGAGCAAGGCAACGAGCTGGATCGGAGGGGCGAGGAGTCCTCAGCGATAATCCCGGAATCTGCTCCAACACACCCGGCACACAAGACAGCCGAACTCCCGTACCGAGTGACTCCATCATAGGTCGACTGCAACGATGTCGGCGAGCCCAACGGTAGTCTGGGACTTGGGGCAAATGCACCTTGAGGCCCCGAACGCAGTACACAACACAGCTTCACAGTGAATCACCGTGTCTGAAACTTTCCCGTGGCTAGGGAGTGGCTGGCATGAAAGCTTGCACGTAGTCTATTACAATGTGATCTCCGAACGTGTGTGGCAGTGTAGATTCCGAAAAAGTTTGAAGGACAATCGAGTCCAAGGCACACTCGGCCATAGCGCGCACGATGCTCGAAAGCACGACGGCTCTAGCTGAGGATGCAGTCTTAATCTCAATCACAGTCCAAGATGCCAACCTCCCGGTGCCTGCTGTGCTGGAAAATGATTCTGAATTCTGAGTGTGTCGCTGCTGAGGTTGCGTGAATGCTTCAAGGCAAATCTTGCAGCACAAGCTCGGAAAATCACAGCCTTACTTCGCGGTCTCCACAGGGCAACTTCCACTCCATCACTTCTACGACTCCCGTTGTCCCATATTGGCCCGAACGGGAGGAGCAGCGCGTGATGAAGAAAGACTCGTGGCTAGTGGCAAGTCATGTCAAGAAGCTGGCCGAAGCTGAGCCGGGAAATTTCTCCAGAAACCATGATCGCCTATGCCCATCTTTCTCGGTATCGGGCCTTCAAGGTTTCTTCTCGCCTCCTGCGCCTACCAATCCACAAAGCCATTATGCACAGAGAGGGAGAGAGGGAGCCAGAGGACCTGAAGTGGCTGTCACCCATGCAAAACACTGCGCAGGAGTCGCTCGGCGATGAATCCATCCAATCCTAGATATCCTAGATGGTCAGATGTTAGTGTGGCATGGCAGGCCGTACCTTTTCCTGCATTGCAGCACCGAGAATCAATAAACAGAAGTTGTCTTTGCACTTCTGCATGACACACTTCATCGAATCGAATCGAAGAGCGGAACCATTAGCCACTACTATCCGATTATCCAAAGCCCTGGTCGTCAGGGAGACACTGCCTCGGACAGTCATGGAAGTGGGCTGTCTGCTCACCACTGATATGTTGTATTATATTCCAAAACAATAAATGCGATCATAGTGCGCTATGTTGAGTTGTACTGGATTATTTTATATTATGTTGTATTATTACAGTAAATTACACTATCTCTCATATCATACTATAATACATCAAGACATGCATACAAACATACATCCATCCATCCGTCCGTGCGCGCGTGCATGCATGCATGCATGCATGCATGCATGCATGCCTGCATACCTACATACCTACATACCTACATACCTACATACCTACATACATACATAAATACATACATACATACATCAGACATACATACGTACATCAGACATATATTTTGTCTGACTTATCCTGTTCTATTGCGTTGTCTCATGCCATATTCGTTATGCTATATTGGACTATGCTTAATACAGTACAGCACAGCATAGTACAGTATGCTATATATATATATGTATAACCGTTGTGTAGTTGCACATATACGCGTGTATATATACATCTACATCTACATCTACATCTACATCTACATCTACATATACATATATATATATGTATACATATATAATTCTCTAGACTCTAGATATCAAATAACTCGATCTTTTTCGCTCGAAAACTCGCTGAACCGCCAACGTTCGCACACAGACTTTTCGTGCGACCGCAATGTGGGTGTCGGCCACAAGTCAAAACTCTAACATCTCTGATTTTCAGCATTCTGAACGGATGTTCCGATCACCGGAGGGGCACACCACATTCATCCGAACGAAAATATCGGCGAGATATTCCCCGCGAGCAGAGTCGGAGCTGCGCAAACAACTAAAAGTCTTCGATTGGATCCGGAGTGGAGTCCGAAGTAGCCTCGGTCGTTTCTTCGAGAGCAGCATCGTGCCGCAAGGCAGCGAAAGCCTTCGGCTTTGGCCGCGGATCACGTTGAGGAGCAGGAGCGGGGTCTGCTCGTTGAGTAGTCGAAGCAGAAACTGGCCGAGGATCAACGGCTGGTTTCGCTTTCGGCTTTGGCCGAGAGGCACCATCAGACTGGTAGACAGATCTACCCCCGCACGGACCGCCGTTAGGCATATTATGAATGCCACTGTAGGAGCATTCGGCACGGCAGGATCCGCCGGCTGAGCCACAGCATCACGATATCCTTGAGCTGTGGCTGCTGAGCATCAGCATCCCTGTTGCGACGAGCAGGCGGGGTGACCCAACGCACCCTCCGACACCAGTGGCGCAGCTCCATGCGACGATCCTAGACGGCACGCGATCGGCCGCTAGGCAGAAACCCCGAGCGAGCAGACCGTCACAGAAGCAACCGGTGTAAAGACCACAGTATACAACACGGCCGACAGAAATCGTCGTAGGTACCGTAGGCGAGAGCTTGAAGACCCACATCAGGAGTTCCATTATCAGATCCCCCGAAAGATCAATGGGGTCGAGTGGCCGTGATCGAAAACCCGGGCCGATCGGCTGATCGCCAAAATGGCCACGGACAACATGATCACGATCACGACTGTTCTTACGATCTGTAAACTGAACTCTGAAGTCCTACCCACCAGACCGAAAATCAAGAGACCAGTTTTCTCGATCTTCACCGCTCGAAAATTCGCTGAACAGCCAACGCTCACGCCGGACAACTGCACTGCCGCTTTCCAGGGCAGCGGTCGACTATTGCGGCCTAGAAAAGAGAGCTACATACCATGTCCTACTGATTTCTTGAATATCAGTACTACTAGCTAAAACTGTGTGTCTGTCGTCATTCTGTACATCAAGGCATGAAGAGCCGGATGCGCGGCTCCCCTTTGAAGCCTCCTCTGGAGGTCGTGGTGAAAAGCGTCGCTCGGCTCACCCTTTGGGCCCTGACCGTGCTGATGGTCTCGCAGCACCTCGGAGAACACCTTGGGCGTGATTTCCCGTAAGCCGTAAAGCACATGTCAGCTCTCATGCGGCGATCGCGAGCGCCAGCAAGGATTCCGCCTCGGGCTGGGCCAGGCAATGGAAACCCGCTGATCGCACAGCTGCTGAGCAGATGCCGGCACGTCAGCGATCGCTGAGCTGGCAGAGGCCGGCTCACAGCCTGGCCGACGAGCGCGAGACCACCCGGAGCTCGTAGTTGCTTCTGGCACGGTCACTGGCCACCACATCCGCGGGGCCCGATCGAGCAGACCCTCGCCCCGCCCCGACCTCGAACGACGTCACAGAGACCTTCCATCCAACGAAGACGGAGATCACGACCGAGGGTCGGAGCCATCCCTCATGTCCGACCGGTATCCTCTGAACCCCCAGTGGAACAGGACCTCATTGCCATTGAAGACCTTCACAGCCACACAGGTGGCCGAAGTGTCGAACATGACCGGCCATGTGAACGNNTCGACTTGCGTAGGAGTCCCACTGAGCACATGGGCCCCCGGTCTCGACGACATGTGAAGAGCAAGACCGCCTTGATGCCGTCGAGCGTGTAGTTCGCGAACAGGGAGCAGTGGTAGACCGAGTTCGGCGGCATCACCTGATCTCGCTCCGTTAGCACATTGATCGAGATCGCGGCGTTGGCCATGATCTCGTCGACCAGCCAGTTCTGGAAGAGGCTGATCAGCCGCTCGTCCGTGTTGTCGATCACGAGCAGGGAGTTGCGGTTGGGATTTGCCTCCTCGGCTACTACCTGCTCCACGAAGTCAGGTTTCTGGACCGCGAAAGGGTTGTGGGCAGCCGGAGCTGCTCGATCACCACCTCGCCGGCTGAGCTTGCCCCGGAGTGTAGAGCTCCCACTGTCCAACAGTGTCTGCTAGAGGGGACCTCCTTGGCAGCCCGAACTGAGGAACCTGCTGCTGATCCGAGCACCGGAAACGACATGGCTGGTTGGATCTAGTCTGTGTGTGTGTGTGTATATATATATACATATGTATAATCGTTGTGTATTTGCACATGTACATGTGTACGTATATGCGCAATTAGAGAGAGAGAGAGAGAGAGAGAGAGAGAGAGAGAAAGAGACAGACAGAGAGAGAGAGAGAGAGAGAGAGAGAGAGAGATATATATATATATGTATACACATACTTATACATGTATGTGAATGTGTATGTAATGTGTATGTATATATATATGTATGTATGTATGTGTGTGTGTGTGCGCGTGTATATGTCTGTGTGCGATCTGTCTTGTCCCACTGACTGAGTTGTCTTCTGAGCCCCGGATTGCAGTGCCGAGAACCGACTCGGCCCATGACACCCAAACCGGGAAGTAGACGAGGGATGTCGTGTTCCGCGCCTTGCACACAGAACTTGGCGTGCATCAATTCACCTGTGCTTCTCTGCTGGATATTCGCAAGATCAGAGCGTGACCCAAAGCCAAATCCATCGGGGCACATCACCGGCTCCACCTGCCATCAGGCGGTCACTGCACGAATTACTAGCTGGGGCAGCTGAAGTAAGCGTTGCTTCGTAGGAGTAAGGCGGTGTGCCTGATTGCTGTACCAGATCACCCAACACCCCGGCCACAACAGCACCGACACCTGCACCACATCCTGGCTCGCATGCGAGTCAACTTGACTGAAGCATGCCGGTCTCCATGCCGCTCGGACTTTGCACCGAGCGGCCATGTCGATAAGAGAAGCTTCCAGATGTCACGAACCCGACCAATGGCCGGATGGCGGCCACCTGCCGGGTCCGTGCTGGGCCCACTGGAGCAGCACATGTCTTGCACGCTTCGCCTCGGCTTTCCTAGTCTCCACTTCCTCGGCTCGCCGTCTTCTCAACCGATACGAAGTGTGCCGCGGCTCCTTGCAGTGACAGGCGACAAAAGAACATGAACGATAACCAAAACAATTTCAGGGAAGCGTCATGCAACAACGCAGCTCACGTGGTTTTGGGTGGATCTTCGCGGCTTCGCTGGCTTTGCACTGCTTCGCAATGCTTCGCATGATTGCGCAGCCTGTGCCTATGCCATCAGAACAGGTGCATGGGGCAGGGAGCGACTGCCAAGCCGCCCTGACCCTTGGAGGATGGCTCGGCTCAAGCACATGCCCAAGGATCTGTGAAGATCACGGACCTTCTCAGAAGTCTCCTTCGGCTCTTCGGCCATTGCCTCAAGCTCTGGGCCCTCTCTGCACCCTGCTGCGCTACAGTACATCTTCGCTTTTTTAGAAACACATGGATGCAAGCCCAGGTGCCACATTGGCAATCCGCATGAGTGCAAGAACCTCCTCTGTCTCGAATGGGCACGGATCCTCTTCAAGCACCCCAGACAGTTCCTCCTCGGGCACAGGAGATCCACTTCAAACTTCAAAATCAAGCAGCGCCCGTTTCTTCCCGGCGGGGCCTGCAACACCTGAAGCTGAACAGCAGCCGAAGCAAAACCATGGGATAGCCTCAGACAGCTGGCAGCTGGCGGCTTCGTCGGAGGCTTCTGATCAGGATCCTAAAATCAGCACATCCGGCAGCAGAGCAACAACTTCACCAGGACAGGCGCCCAGGACGCAGTCGGCCTGCCAGCCACGTGCAACGCGTGGCAGCGGGCATACCTCGTGCAGACAGATGCCAAGCAGTTCTGACCGGAGTTGAAGTATTCTGACGACTATTGCTTGCACCGACCACGCAAAGCACGAAGCATCCGGCAAATGCCAAGCTGCTGGATGAAGAAGTAGAGCCGAGCGGAAGCTGGAAGCGTTGGCAAAGGTGCTGGGGCACCAGGCGGGGCCATCGCGGCTAATAACGCAGGAGAGGGACAGTCGTCGAAGGATTCTTCCAGGTTTGCTGGAGCAAGAGCCTCGAGGAGAGCAAACATGCCGTTCTCGACAATACCATCACAGAAGTCTGAGATATCAGCTGCTCCTTTATCCAGCTTGTCCACACAAATCTCCTCTTGCTCCAAGCTGGGAATGCCCACAACTGCCCAACATGCCCAGGACAAAGCACCCAGCAGGTCACCGGAACTCTGGAGAAGTCGTGCGCGCTGCCAGCAATGTTGACGACCCAGTTCACCCAACTCCAAGTCATCCAGAACTGACAATGCTTCCCACATAGACTTGTTGTCACCGACCGCACTAGCACAGTACTTGTCCGCCATTACCTGTAAGCATCGTGCAACTTGACTAGCACCACCCGCTCGCAAGTAGTTCAGAGCGCAACGTAGCTGCTGCGGTGGCTGGCACAGGTCCGCAGCATACGCTATGAGATGCCAGTCCCGCGGTGCAAGGTTAGTGTCTGGTTCGACAGACAGTGACAGTCGCCCTGCATAATACAGCAAGTCCACTAGATGCACCACGAAATACTGAGGAAACTTATCCGGCATGGAAGTAAGTAGCTCCAGCAAGGCCGTCACGTCACACTTCACGGCTGCTACGAAAGCTCTGTCTACATTGTCGATGCTTTCGTCCTGTCGACGTCGGGCAACTGCCTGAAGCAAGTCTCCGAGCTCGGCACGCCGCAGGTCAGGGAATACCCATGCATGGCTGAACACGAAATCCTCAATCCAGCTCCGGCTATACTTCCAGGATATGTCCCGGTTTGCTTCGAAGTCAACCTGGCTCGACCTCATGTAAACTTCCAAAAGCTGCCGCAAAGGATGCTTCTCTGGGAGCTGGCATGCGATGCCTTGCGCTGCATCCTGCATTTCCACTATGGCCTGGCCAAATTCGACGGCACTCGCCCCAGCGAGCTCCATCTCTCGCATAGAAGGGAACTTCGAAAGAAAGTCGCAAAACAGAATCACGTGGCTGTCCCGTCTTGCAGAGCTCCCCTTCAGCAATTGGACGACTTCGCTTTTGCGGTCAGCAAGCGCCAACCGGCAGATCGGTTCCCAAAAAGGGGAATCCTCGCACAGGACATCATCTGACGACGCATCTTGGGCGCTTTGGTACCAATCAGAAACGTCCTCTTCACCTTGGCTCCCGAGACCACTTCGTGCTGAAACTCATTGCTGAAATGGCAGGCTGCATGCTGGCACACTGGGCTCAGGACCTTCCAGATAGTGCCGACAGTACCACCGCAAGAGCCCAGGTGCAGTGGGAGCATAACGACGAAGGGCCGTCTCGATGATCAGCTCCAGCACCGCGAGACAGAAGCAAAGCGTATCCTGAAATTCGTGCGGTGACAGACGACACATGATGACACTCCCTTGTTTACCACACTGCCTCGAAGACAAAGCTTGTTCAATGCAGATTGAAGTCATGCTGGGCACTGAGCTCCGCATTCATTTGGCACTTGCCAGACCGGCGGAGCCTTCCAAAATGCTGTTCCGAAGCATAGGAGGCATAGCAGCACAGCAGCACAGACTGACAGTTGTACAGCGCTGAATAAAGGCCCTCTATGCCTGTGCAGGTTGGGACTGAGCATGCTTGGGAGGGCCCTTGTTTGTAAACTCTTGCAAAAGGGTAGGACTTGAGGAAAAGTGCATGTTCGTGAGGGTGGCCACTGCAGAAGAATTAAGCTGAGCTGCTCATCGCGTCCTGCAGCGATTTCACGAGCCAGGCTCTCAGCGTAGTCAAGCAACATCTGCTCGGCCTTGAATACGTCCTGCAACACACCACGCCGCTGGAAGGCAGAGCCAAGTGTGTCTTGGAGGTGGGCAGGAACTTGATGCAGCCAAAGTTCCACTGGAGCTCTCGTGGCCTCTACATGTTCATGGGTGCTCTTCGCCCGCAGCTGGAACGCGGTAAAGTGCGAGAGTAAGCCCTCACGTAGTCCCGCTGGAGGATTGGTCCTCGAAGCCCGAGTCTCCTGATATCGTGTGCCTAAAGCACCGGAGAAGTCCTTGGCTTCGAGATGGCACCGAGGGACCCAGATGCTCCAGCTGCAACCGTTGTCACCCTGTAAAGCCGAGAAACAAAATCTTCTGACTCATTGGCAAGCTCTCCCATGGGCACCACGCAGGGGGCCATAACTTATGCGGGATCTAACGTCAGGCAGTGCGTCAGTTAAGTGAGGCATTAGGCCGATGTGGAATAAAATGCTGAAAGCGGCTCTGTTCTTCCCGTCCGAGATGTTTGCATATGCATTGCCGGAACTCTAAGGCTCTAAGGGCCAAAAATGTTCATGTCAAGTTCTTGCGCTTTCTGGCTCTCCATCACGCTCCATCAACCGGAGGCAAAGGGCTCGGAGTTGGTGCCAGAAATCCTCCAAGCGGAGCACTTCAGGCGGCCCAAGGGCGGGCGGCTGGTCCCTCGAAGGCAAGCGCATGGGGCCTTCGTGGAAGTTGGATTGTGGCCGCGACCGCGAATAGACTGCGACCAGGGCCCTCGCGAGACTCTCCACGGCCGTGGCCACCAGGATTTCCAAGTCCTGCCAGATCCGACATGGAAGCTTCGGAAGCTTGCATGCTGGTCACCCAATGCAAGCCAGTGTTCAGCCGTGCACGCTCAAGGCCTGGTGCGTTCAGGCGATTCAAGTCTTCGACCGAAGGTCGGTAGAGATGGCACTTGCCTGTCACTGAAGCCATTCATTGGCTCGCTCCTTTTGCCAATCTCGATGCCTCGAGGCATCCCACGCGCAGCGCTTCGAACGGTCACAGGTAGAAGGCCTGCAAGTGTACCAATGATTGAACCCGCTACAAGCTTTCGCTGCTTGTAGTGCATGCACGTGACATCAGTGCAGTGTCTGGTTATTGTTTTCCGTTGTGTAGTGTTGTCTGGGGGTCCTTCGTCCTAACGTTCAGCTTGTTTCCGGATGTTTCCGGCTCGCCTGCTGTGGCGGTCAATCGTTCATAGCTCCATGTTCCAACACTTGGAGCAAGTCTGACTCTCTCAAACCGAAGTGTATACAAATAGAGGCACATGCAGTTATAACCACAAGATTGAAGGACATCCCACTTGTGCCCCACGCCCTGCGAGGGCCTGGATGCGAGAAACAACGTCGCCTTGGCCAAAGTCGTTTCTCACAGATCTGCAGGCAGGGACATGCGGAGCCTGCTGCATTGCAAACAGGGGGCGGCTGGGAGAGCAGCACCAGCTGGCTGGTTCGGCACACCTTTGGCCTGCATCTCGCATGGCAATGGCACAAATTGCAAGCAAACTCCGCGAGTCAGGCCCTAACAAGGGGTAGCGTTATGTCGCCCCAGGGCAGGTGAATTCGCGACACCGCATGGGCACGCGGGAATGCGTGAAGTTACACCAGGGCGAGTGAAGTCACCATCAAGCATAGCTGCACATCGCTTTCCCCATGGCCACGCGCTTCCGAGCAGATTCCTGGCACAGATTTCAAGTGCCAAGCGCAGGCTTTCTTAGGAATTACTGTCCGGAACACAGCTGTGTAAACGCAGCAAGCAGCACATCAAAACCAGCCATTCCCCATGTAGACGCTCGATTTAGCAAGCACCCGCTCCAGAGGTATGACTTCACACAGCGCGTTGCGACTTAACACAACCCCCAGTAAGCATTCTCTCGACCTTTTACAGGCTGCAACCGCACTTGGCTTCGAATGCCTTCCTAGGTACTAGTCGCGTCGACTGCTCAGGGCCGTCTCTGATGAACGAAGGCTCTCCCCCTCTACAATCTTCTCGAGGAGGCCGCACGACCGCGAAAATCGCACGAGAGACCGAGTTACTTGCAACGCTGGAGATTGGTCCAAAGCTGCGGCCGCAGTCAGCGAGTATCAGATGTATACGATAGAAGAACTGGTGTTGTAGCGGTCGCCGCTGCCCAAACCAGCTAATCAGTATTAAACGAAAGCTGGTTTTTCGCAAACTTCACCGTGCTCAGGAAGTTAAAGTATTCCCGGTCCGACGTAATGCGGACAAACTCTCCGGCTTTGTGCTGAAGCGGTGGTTCTCTTTCTTTCTCTAGGCTGTTGCTGTGCGTAGCTGTATTCTTCAGGATGAATGTGTTGATCGAATGCCTCTATTGACTGGTTCAGCTCGAAGCTCGCAAGATTTCGCAAGTGCAACTTTACTACGAGTTGTTGGTCGGCGACGCCGATAGGTTCAGGACGGGATCCGCCCAGCCACAGGCACGAAGCTCGTTCTCTTTGTGTCTCTCTCCGTCGCCTCTTGTTATGTTTCTTTCTCAGCATCGTGAGCGGGGAGAGTGCTCAAGGCCCTCTAGACGAAGCATTACGTCGGAAGTGACCGAATCAACATGGATGCCGCTGAAACTCCTGTGAGATGGCCTCTGCTGGTCGTCCTCGGCAGCGAGAATTCCTGAGCAGATTTTATATTGCAGGCGACAACACAAGACTACATGTCAACCTGGCAGCAGACAGTGACTTTGAGAGGCTGGGACCAAAGCTCCAGTCAAGTAGATGAGGAGAATGAATACCGAGCCTTACTGCTCAAGATTCTTGTCTTGTTCCTGTCGAGCAGCAACGCAAAACGCTGGAGATTGTGGGCAGCCAGGATCAGACACCATCAGCCAGCATCTCAGTTCCGTACAAGTCGAAGTTGGGTCGCTTGGCAGGTGGTCGGCGTTGAAAGCGAGCCCGCGACTCCGAACCCTGGCTGCAAATGCAGAGATGAGGACAAGAGCCTTGAATGATGGGCTTCACATCTGCAAGGTAACTTGAGACCTGCCTCTTGGGCCGATTGCTTTTGTCCAGCTTGCGTATCTGGAAAATCGAAAGGAAACTCCGGCCTGCATGGAGATGCAGAACAGACAATCTGATAAACTTCGTCCGGGAAGTCTGCTGTTCAGGGTCTGGCAAAGCTGCATCAGAGAGCAGCGAGTGGCGATCACGCACACCGATGGCTCGACAGCCGGCAAAGTAGCACCGCAACCTGGGCTTGCACGGCAACCCTGCCATCCGGCAGCATCATTCTGTGTGTCACATGTGGTGGCCTGCATGCATCTACGAGCCACAGCTTCTAGCGCACTCGATTCAGTGGTCTTGGAAGCTGGCCACAGCTTGTGGCAAGCACCTGGCACAAACGTCTCGCACGATGGGCGATTGTCTGCGGGCATTTCGACGCAAACAATCGATTCCCACTTGTGCTTTACATGTCGGTCACGATAGCATGGATGTCTCGAAACATGTCGTAACAATGCTCCTGTCAATATGCTATCGAATGCAATGCGATCCAAAGCTTTTTTGTTCCGCGAGATCCGGTCTGCTGGTGCCAAATAATGTCGAATGAAGAAATGATAGACGCTTGGCCCGGCTTGGTGAAACACATGAGAAGTATTATAGAGCAAGTGAATTTAATCCAGAGAGCTGGTAATCAATTACACCTCGCGGGAACTGCATTGAAACACTGTCTTTAAAGAGTGAGACAGAGAGTGAGAGCCAGGTGGGTGAGAGTGAGAGATAGTGGGCGAGAGAGTGAGAGTCTGAATGAAGTTGAGATAGTGTAGGAGAGGAGATAGAGAAAGAGAGAGAGAGAGAGAGACAGAGACAGAAAGAGAGAGACAAACAGACAGACAGACAGACAGACAGACACAGACAGACACAGACAGACACAGACAGACACAGACAGACACAGGCAGACACAGACAGACACAGACAGACACAGACAGACAGACAGACAGACAGACATACAGACAGACAGGTAGACAGGTCAGACAGATAGATAGAGAGGGAAACAAAGAGAGGAGGGAGGGAGGGATGGAGGGAGAGGTAGAGGGAGAGGGCGAGGGAGAGGGATGTGGGAGGGAGGAGGAGGGGGGAGAAGCCGTGAAAGATCAGCTTTCCAGGTCATCTTCCAGCAGAACATGGAAGAGATGCTAGCCTGACTGCAGATAGAGGGAGAGAGAGCAAGACAGCGAGAGAGAGAGACAGAGAGGAGGGGGAGGTGGGAGAGTGAGTGGGAGAGAGCACGGAAAGAGAGGAGAGCGGAGAGAGCCAGGGTGCACACTGAAGTTGCCCTGCTCCTGTCACCGACACATAAAGCACAAAGCCGATCAAAGCTGGCCATCGTCCCCTTCACCAGGTCTCTCTGAAAAGCCCCGGGGGCTGTGAACTAAGTAACTACACCGCACGCGAACCTTGGGTTCGCCCGGAAAGTAAACCCGCTTGTGCATCTCTGATCCTCCTTAGGAGCCTTCGGAGCAAGCCGGTGCTGGCAACATCAGCATGAAGCTGTAAGTGATTGAAATCCTGACGAAAAGCCTACGCTCATCAGATCAGGCTCAACCCGTAGCATTCTCTCTCTCTCTCTCTCTCTCTGCCGTTGCATCCAGAGGGTCCAGCAGCTCTAGGCAACGCGTGAGGAACCCGTAGCATTCATGCGGCACGATTTACGATTTAGAATGCCACGGACTGAGTGGTGAAACATTTCAGGACCAAGTCCTCGCAGATCCTCACCTTCCCCTGTATTCCCGAAATGATAAATTCAGGCGCAGATAGCAACTCAGCCAAATCTGCAGGCGTTTTGCCGCGACGGTTCCGGATGTCTACTCTCGCCCCAGCGGCAATGAGTACAGCCGCTGCCTCGAAGGAACCACACAGTATGCTGCACATCAGAGGGGTTGCACCCGAATGGTGGTATGCATACATGCTGGTCGGAGTAGCGCGCCACAGATGCATGGCGCTCAGAACTGCAAATGCTACGCTGATTGGACTCCGTGGCGGGAAGGCCAGGGGCTGGTCGATGTCAGCATCCGCTTCGATGAGCGCAGCAACAACTTCTGCAGAGGCGGCGCCGAACAAGATTGACGAGTGAAGAGCTCTGGAAACTTCGGCACGAGGAGCATCTTGCAGCAGTGCCCTGATGACGTCCACGGACCCTTCTCCTTCCGCAACACAGAACACAATGCCGTTAACTTCTGCTTGGGGGAAAGTTAGATCGGTTCGTTTGCTGTCTCTTGCATCGGACAAGACTTGCGAGCACACGCATGTTTACAGGGTGGTTGGATAAGGACTGCTTGACGATGGTCCAGAGCAGTAGCAGTGGGTGCCAGGATACCGGATCAGCTAGTTTCGTGACACTCTCGGGCACCACAAGACCACAGCTATGAGCGACAAAACACGCTTTCTCATTTCTGCTACATGTAGCAGTCCAGCTCCGCATGGCTCGGTTCATCCAATGGATCGGCACTCACTGATGTGATAACGCATCAACTAATTCTTTCTGATAACCTCCCCCTCTTGACTAAGACGTCTGACCTGAACATGCTCCACGAACTTAGCTGTTGTTGCTAGAATTGGTGGCTAGTTTCCTGGAGGCCTGCAAAAGCATCCGGGCCAATGATCCCTTCAACGCTCTGAGCTACACCTACCTCTACCTTTACAGTGCCAATGCCAAATGCCCTGCAGATTAGCTTGTTGCTGCAGTGCAGGCCTGCACCAGCCCCTCCAGACAAGGCCAGCGGGGAGAAGTGCAGGCTGTTTTGTATTGTGGTGCTGCCTCCAGCAGCACGCAGAATGTCAACGGCATCCATGTTTTTGCTTGCACATGCATAGTGCATTGCTGTGGATCCCGTCTTGTCTCTGGCATTCACGTCTGCCCGATGCTCCAGTAGAACTCGCATGGCTTCACTATGCCGGAGAACAACCGCAATGGTGAGCACGGAAGTGCCGGCCGTCAGTGCCAGGGGTTTCTCCCCCTTGTGGATGGTATCATTTGGAGATGCCTGTAGTTCAAGCAAGGCTGAAATGATCAAGGGGTTTCCTCCTAATGCCGCGTAGCATAGTGGTGTCCACCCGCTCTCCACTCGCCTCTTGCCGTCCTCAAAGCCTGCTTCATGCAGATATTCGTCGAGGAAAAACTTACTTGGGTCGAGCTCTTGGCTTCTGAAACCTGGCACGAGACCGCGGATGGGTTCGACAGGGCCGGAGCGAAAATGCACATGCTGCAGGTTCAAGAGCATGCGATAGTTGTGAAAATCGCCCGCTACCAAGTAAGACAACAGCCTGTTTCTGATCAGGCTCTGAACGACACCCACAATGCGTGCCCTATCTGCATCCAGGGTGAACACGCCCTCAAAGACGGGCTCTCTGAGGTATTCATACGGTACGGTAAGAGTTTGGTGTTTTCCGCTGCGTACCTCAATCAAACACGATGCGCCGTGCAGTTTCAGTTGGCTTGCCAGCCTCTCAAGCCTGCACCAACCTCGCATGCCCCAGCTTGACTTCGATAGCAATAAATCCTTCTTGCTGTGTCGAATCTGCGGACACAAAATGAAGAAATATTTGCAACTCTCAACGTACGCCGGAATGCTGTCAATGGCTTTCTGCTGCTCCTCCATAATGTGCACGGCACCCGCTTGCGGACAGGAGCAGTAATCATACCAAACGAAAAGCGGGCGAGCCCTCATCTCGCTTGTGAAGACACCCGGCTGCTTTCCGAAAAGTATCTCTGAATTGATGTCCACTGGAATGCTGGTAGCATCGAACAGCAGGGCCTTCAAAGCTGCCTGCAGCACCTTCAGTTGCTCACCTGTTGGATCCGGATGGGCCTCACCTGCCCATTCGTGCGACACAAAAATCGCATTCCCCAGATCACTGGTAAACAGAACAAGCCCCCCTTCTGCCTTTAGCTCCTCATGTTTCTTGAACTTGGTCATCTTGAACAAGACATCCGCGAGGATCACATACATTGGAAACGTTACGGGTATCCGGCCCGTTGCCAACAGTTGCCTTGAAGTTCCTCTGCTCTCAGACTTGAGGGCATCGGCAAAGTGTGCCAGAGGGGTTTTGTCTGTTCCGAGTCGGCCACAGCAAGCCGGGCGCATGGTCTTGTGCTCCGAACCGCTTGAGCAGCACCGGCTCTGCAGAAACAGATCGCTGGGATCAACGTTGTTAACACCCTCGAATGCCGAGACTTTCGCAGCCCCACGAACGGACACATTTATATGTAACGAGACACATGCCTAGCACTTGCAGGCCGCAGGAACAGAACAGAGCTGGACACCTGCTGGAAGGATCATGTCCACACCGGCAGCACAGTCAGCTATCTTGCCGCCGCCACGGAACACCAACAACACATCGAGTCCATCCTGGCGCAAGGCAAGCTCCACACTCGCGCAAGCTCGACTCGATACAGCGACCCACGTGAACAGCGCGAAGGGTCGCTGCCTGCATCGAGAAGGTGTCCCAGAGGTGGCCTGCAGGAAATTCCCGGTGTCGTCCCTTCAAAAAAATTATAAAAAAAAAGCCCAGTTGCCCTCTGTGCTGAGCTTCGGGCACTGCTGCACCTGATCTGGCCAGCGAGCGAGCCTCAGCTTGGCCTAGCGGCTAGTGCCATTGGTGGGGCTACTGCGGCCGCTCAAGCCTCACCTAATTTCTGATCCAAGGAGAGGCGATGGCTGTGCTTTGCACACGACGCCGTCTCACATGAACCAAGCAAGCGGCCGAGCCAAAGACGAGCCAAAGACCGGGGCAGCGGCCACTCGCTTCCATGGTCTCCTTGATTCGGTTGCCTGACTCGGATTTTGTCGAGGCTCCCTTAAAGCAATGTTCATAGGGGAGCCTGCCAGCTGCAAGCCCAGCCGTCTTGCCTAACACGACCCACACCCTGCCCCCTACATGTGCAAGTAAAGTGAGAAAATCTGGGATGTGGGCACTGGTTTAGGACCGACTCCTGAAGTGCAGACGCAAGTCGTCCGCACAGCTTCACATATTGCACTGCATCATTGCACTATAACGCCACACGCTTCCCTTGATCGCACTTCGCCGCACAGACAACTCGCGAGACAACAACCAACTGCGAACACCAAATCCAGAGATTCCTGAGCATTGGCGATGCGGCCTCAATGCACATATACCGGTGTGCGCGGTTTATGTTGGCTGCGTTTTGGGTCCTTATACAGGAGTGAGGGACATCCGTTCAGGCACGGTCCAAAAGCCATGCTTGCCCAGACTCTGCTCACAGGCGAAAGCATACGACAATTTAGCGCATTGCATGGCACACGCCTCTAACTGGATGGCCAGCACAGCACCGTGGGGTGGAACCACCCGCGCACCGCCACAAGCCGAAGAAACCTTCAGGTGAATCTGTCGCGACAAAGCCGTTTAAATGCGCAGCACCGCGCTGCCTGTCGCCACAATCTTGTAGCGGCAGAGTCTCGACACACCTACGCATGCTGCACGGAGCAATGCTATATCCCGCGCTTGCGAAACCACAGGCTTGAAAATTTTGACTGAACCATCTGCCCTCCCACTCGACCTCTGGTGGAACGACGCGGGCAAGCACCTGTCAGCGAGTCAGAAACAGCTCCGATGGCAGAACCCAACTGGCAAAGAGCTCCGTTGCAAACTTTTTCCAAAAGGCCTCCAAAGCTTTCGGTCCAGAAAGCTCCAAAAACCCAAGGCCCGGCATGGCAGTGACAGAAGGCCTCTGAGGCACGGGAGTTCAGGAGTCCAATGTCCATTTTGTGCACACGAGCATGACCTGCACATCAAAGCTGACCCCCGCGCCCCTCAGAGCCTCTCCCTAAAGAAAGCCCTTTGTCTAACAGTGGGGTTTAGGCGGGTCCTACGCCTTCACGCCAGAGCCCGGGGCCCTACAGTATAAACCCTATAAAGATTGGGGCTGGGTTGGAAGAGTCCATGGAATGGACTAGTCTGAATAGTCACCTCCAAAGCCGGGGTCCCCGACTTGCTGCCACTTGGTGTGCTAGCAGCTTGCTGAGCCGCCTTGGGGCAAATGGAGGTCAAGGTTGTAGCTTGCGAGTTGGACCCAGGAGTCGCCCACGAATCCCACGATTCGACTGAGCGCGCTGCCAACGTGAGGTTGGAGAGCGCCTACAACGAGTGCCGAGAAAACGGTCTCAGAAGCAAGTTCTGCATGGCTGCGGTTCATGGTTAGCGAAACCAACTGCAAGGGGCTGGCTCCGGACAAGCCACAAGAATCAGGCCTCGTCAACAGCCGATGGATGCACCCAGACCCACATCTTCCAGCCTTCAACCTGGTCCTGCTTGCTGTCCTCATCGTTTGACATGTTGATATCCGGTTGCGGAGCTGTCTCCTTCCCGACATCAACGACGAACGGCAACATCTCCTCTTCGCTGCTGGATTCCTTTGCAACTTGTCGCTTGGTGCACAATGATGGGCACCATAACATCAGCACCGGAGCGACGAGCTGATCTGTGTTGCAAGCATATAGCATTGAGCGAAATCTACGGCTTCCACTTCGCGCGCTTGCACTGAGAGCTAAGCGCTTTTGGACCCCACAGCGACTCAAGATCTGTACGATAGAGTCTTCGGACCCGAAGATCTCAATCAGCTGCATGTAGCTCCGATCGTGCATGCAACAATGCCGAGACATGGCTCGGTACAGCACGCGGACCCCAAGACCACAGTTGTGGGTAGCCAGCCGATGGTTCCAAAGGTTCTCCATGCGTGCTCGCTTGGCATGCCATATGTGGGTCTGAAGGTACTTCTGCGAGGTGCCTGCAAGCGGCGGCACCCCAGAAGCATGGGCCCTCAATAAAATGGCAGGACGCCGCCAGTGCTTCCGCACACGGACACGAATGTTACCAGTTCCGGGCTCCTCTTCGGCAGCGAGCACCGCTGCAGAATTGCTTGTTGTGGCTATGGATCGGTATCTGTTCCTCTTGCGTCGCACAACCCGTGCATCTGCCATAACTGGAGCGCGACATCTCAATAAACCAAAGGGCCGCCAACTTCTCGCGCGTCGCCGAAGATGTCTTGGCACAGTGTCAGCATGGTCCAATGACTCGACGAGCTTGCCCGCATCATGCGCACGCTCTGCCACAAAGTCCTCGATCAGAACAGCCGCTGGCGGCACCGCTCCTTGATATGTGTTCCGAGCTGTGTACCGCTTGTATGTTGCTGGCTTCGACGCAGACGCCATAGCCAACGACTCTCATCCAACCAGAAATGCACCATGCCAATCACGCCAATCTACGAATAAATTTGTTGCCATGCCGGGGTTTCGCAACACTCAAACCGCCAGCTCTGTTACCACAACACATGACACTGCTCAATGTGTTCGGGTCATGTCTGCTTGTCTGTCATGCTGACGCCGTTTCATGTCCTTTCTTTTCTGGCTGGTTTGCGGGTCAATGTCCGTTGTTCCCTTCCACACTCGTGACAATTCCGGGCCCAAGTCCAAGCTGCACGGTTCGTGCGATTTACAAAACGGATTGGAAATCGAGCCGGTGTTTGTGCGCGGGAGAACTACAGCACACAGATCTGAAATAGCTCCGGGATTCTCCTCTTCAGGCGCATGACCTTGCAGACGTGACCACCCTCTCCTGGGCTCTCTCTGCTCTTTCTGTGCCTCTGTTTGTCTTACCTCGTCTCGACCCAAAAATGCACATCCGCATCTTCTCAACCCCAATGTCGACCCTATTTGAAGCTTGAAGATACTCTTTTTTCGCGATGTTCGCGTCCGTGCCTGTTTCACGTGTGCAGTGGTCCCACGTCCGTCGGCACAGGTACGAGTGGCGGCGATACGGGAGTCTGCGAGTGGCTCGTGCAGCTCTGGCAGCTTTCCCTCGCCCAGCTCAACGGCCTGCGGCAGTCCTGCGGCAGCTCGAGGAGCGGTGCCGCCTAGGCGCGCGGGGGGCGACGGCCAGGAGCCCAGGAAACGATGGCACAAGGTCTTGGGTGCAATATCGCCGTCGGCTTTCTCTTGTCGTGGTAGCCGAAACCTAATTATCGAGCAGCTTTCGAGATCCATGGGTCCATGGGTGTCGGCTGCACCCGACATACTTGGCATTGGAAACCCAGAAACGGGTGCGGGCGGGAACGGGCCAGCGTCGCACACCGAAAACGACTCTGTTTGTCCGCCCGACAGGGCAATTCATTACCCAAGCAACGCGCCCAGCCTGAAGCCGCAGTGGCCCGCGGGGCTGGCAGCGTTCTGTAAGACCGGAGGCGCACCAAACGCTGCGCATCGCCATTGAAGCGCCCTCAGACCTCGCTCTGCGGCCCTTCGCTCCGGAGCTCCGGGTGGGTGGCTGCCTTGCGTCGCTCTGCTGTCCGCAGGGCGGCGCCGCCGACAGCGGCCGTGCATGGCTGTGGTTGCCCCGTGCGTGTAAGTGGCGATACCAGTTTCGCATCGCAGCTCAACACGGAGCCGTTGGGCATCGCTCCGTCAATGACCAACCACATCCAAGCGGCGTCGGTCATCCCCGCACGCACCCCGAAATGTTCACAAGCCATTGTTGCGGCACCCCACCTGCCCTTTTTGGCACCGCCGGCTCCGCGCGCGACGCGAACCCAAGCTCGTTGACTAGCCTGACACGCCGAGCGAGCATGGCAAGCGAGCGCTTGGTCGCCAAGTCGGTCGCGTGTCGGTCCACATCTGCCATGGCAGATCGGGAGCGGCATGCGCAGGCGGCGGCGGAGCACCAGCGCCATGGCCTGGGGCGTGAGTGCCATGGCTGGCTCGGCTGGAAACACGAGGTGTCGAACTCGGCAAAATCTGCCGAATTCGGCAATCGGCCCGAACCAAATTTCCATCAAACATCCTCGTCCACGCCCCCCATCAAACTTCATCGCTCAGCTCAGGCTCCCAAACTTCCACCACATTTCGCCTCCAAACGGTTGAAATCTTTTGTTTCCCTCACACACCGTTTTGTTGTCTCCGCGGTCCCTGCGCAGGTCGCCAGGTTCGGCCAGAAGGTCACTGAGGAGCGGAGGATCTCCTTCGACATTCGCTGCACCGGCATGCGGCAGGGACAGGAGGCTGGTCGCGAAGGCGCGTCCCGCGGCAAATCCGAGCAGGGCGGACCACGGAAGCGCGTAAGCAGGTATGCATGCACTCTGCAGTGGTGGGGGTGCAGACCCGGCGCGGCAGCGGACCATGAGCCCGAGGAAGGTAGCAGCGTCGGGGCACCACCTGCCGCCGGTTTTCATGCCCAGCACGATGAGGCGGCAGCCGCGATGCGGCGGTCATTTTGACGGCAGGGTGCGACATTGAGGTCCCGCACCAAGACGTTGGTTCCAACAGTGGCACCAGCTTCACGGCAGACACGAGCGGCAGCACGCTCAACTGGGGCACCTCTGGCGCGAGACCCGCCGGAACGGGGGCATGCAGCGAGGTGATCCCCTAACTCGTCATGGCGACGTCGGCAGCGACAGTAAGTGGCAGCAAGCGGCAGAAGGAGCCGGAGGCGCTGCAACAGCAACACTCAGAAGTGCGATGGTGCAAGTGGGAGTTCAAGGGAAGTAGGCCTTGCCGTGAGAATACGCGCAGCGAAGGGGCCTGCCTGCGAGTCCAGCAGGACGGCAGCGGGGGGATCAAGCTCGCGAAAGATGGAGCGGAAGCAGAACTCGTCGACGGCCCTGAATGCAGGACGTTGCCATCCGCGTGGGGTGGAGCTGCGGTTCATGAAAGCCGGACTGCCGAGGAGCACGCCGAAAGCAACGAGGCCGTGCTGTTCCGGGCTCAACGCAGGATCACCAACCCACACTACCGACTCAGAAGCAAGTTGCGGAACTGCATCAGGCAGGACGCCGGCCGCATTCCACACACGAATCTTGGAAGCATCCAAAAGCAGTCGGGCCATTTGCCAGATTAGGTCCTGGAGACGGCGGTAGAGCAATGCCACCCGGTCGGGTGAGGCAAGGATTCAGACATCATCGAGGTATGCTAACACCTGCTTGATGCTAGCACCTGCTTAATGGGGCGGGGCTCGTTAGAGGTCATGGAGGGCCGGAGCGACAGCGACCGAGAAAAGGGATGTCATGAGGGTGTCACGTTGTTCGCCGCCTTCCGACTGGCATATGCGGTGCGAATGCTCTCCGGCGCACCAGAGGCGGACAGAATCGCGCGCATACCACAAGCGGGCGAAACGCACTAAGGGGGAGAGAGCCGGCGACTCCTTCATTGCAGTGAGCATCGCCTCGCGGCTGACAAAGTCATATGCGGCCGTGGCATCAACCGAAACGATAGTGAGATTGTGTCAGCTTGCGTGCGAGCTTGCAAGGTGTGCACCAAAGCTTCGGCCCCTGCACGCGACGAAAAGGCGTACTGGTGCGGGTTGCACGCTGCCTGGAAAAATGTGATCCGAACTGTTGGACGACCAGTCGACGCATGAAATCCCCGACGACAACGCCGCGTGTGCCACCCGAAGGTTTGCGGATAGGAACTAAGCGACCAATTGACAGGGCAGCAACGCCCGGCTCGGTGCTGTGGCATTGCGGGCCCGCACCACTTTCGGGGGACAACACCAGTTTGGGGGACACCACAACTTTCGAGTGATAACACCACCTTGGGCGAGAACACCGCTTTGAGGGACAACACCGTTTTGGCGGACAACACATCTTTGGGTGACAACACCACTGGGGGGGGAGGGGGACAACACCACGTTGGGGTGACAGCACCACCTTTTGAGGGACAACACCAGTTTGGGGGACAACACCACTTTAGGGGACAACACCACTTTGGGGTGACAGCACCAATTTGGGGGACAACCACCTTGGGGGACAACACCACTTTGGGGGACAACACTACTTTGGGGGACAACACCACGTTGGGGGACAACACCAATTTGGACGACAACCACGTTAGGGGGACAGCACCACTTTGGGCGAGAACACCACTTTGGGGGGACAACACCAATTTGAGCGACAACACCATTTTGGGGTGACAACACCAGTTTGGGGGGACAGCACCACTTTGCGGGGACGACACCACTTTGGGCGATGGGGGACAACACCACGTTGGGGGGACAACACCGCTTTGGAAGCCAACACCACTTTGGGGTGACAACACCACTTTGGGGCACAACACCACTTTGGATGACAGCTTTCCTTGGCTTCGGGGACAACACCACTCCCAGAGCAGACTGGGGCGTGGACGTCACAAAGGTTAGGTCGTGGATGCTCTGGTCTCAGGACGGATTAGGAAGTCAGCCAAGAAATCGAAAAAATCATCTCATGCTGCAAGACAGCGAGATGATCCAAAAAATCACCTTACATCTGCTGCGCTCTGCTCAAGTCCTGGATGTGGCGCACGATGCCGCTGTAAAATCCGCGGTCCACCCGTGACTGCACAGCACTGGCAGCCTGGACCATGGTTTCTGCCACATCTTGCGTCTGGGCATTGTCCATCAACTGCGTGATGCCAAAGTGCGATGACTCGACAGCGTTGGTGGACTACGTCGTGTAGCCTGGTTCTACCGCGCCCAAACCGCTAGCCCAACTGGCTTGCCAGTGTGGTCCTCGGGTTTAGGGCCTAGGGTTTGCATTGCTGAGGACTACACGGACAAAAGAGTGTTGGGGAAAACCCAAGGAAAACTTGCTGTTACAATGCAGCATACCTTTGCCGTCCAAGATATGCTCTCTCAAGTACGCCGCCATGACAGGCTCCTTGAAGTCTGTGGTTGCCTGTGCGGATGCCATCCTTGTCAAGATGCTGGACCAGAATGTGCGGAATTGAATATCGCTCGGCAAGGTTGCGGAGAACTGAACAAAATCCAGTATGACCGAAAAAGCTCCGAATTCCGCAAACGAGGTTGCCCTGTCACGCTATCACGCTTTGCAGACTCATCTCGGATGTTTTTCTTCACATGCTGGAGGTACCGGTGCAGGAACAACTTCGGATCTGTCTGCCGGCACCACTCCAGGACAACATTTAGGCACTTGCAATCCAGAAAACCATCCGTCAGCTTCATGTTCCATTTCTTGGCATGCTCGAAGAAGAGGTCCAGGAGCATGACGTAAGCTGCTTCATCTTCAGAATTCGCGAAAACAAAGAACCCTGGTATCATTCGCACACTCGGCAAGGACCGAGCAGGAGACAGAAGACCGGCTGCCCCGATGCAGCCCAAAAGCAGGCCGTCTCGGTCTTATATGTGGGATCCAACAGGAATGCCAAGAGTCCGCAATCCTGGAAAACCT